TTCCCTTTTGCACAAGATGTTGACCAGGACTCTCAAGTTGCTTAAAAACCCTCATTTTATGCCTAAACCTGCCCTCCTTGACTTGACCAGGAGCATTATCCAGGTCTTCTTTCTTTCTTCCTTCATTTATCACTTCATACTTATTATTGCCTTTCAAAATATTTCCACTATTCATTCATTTTCTTTTTCAGGCTGGTGGTGCTCCCACGCAGAATATTCTCTCCGCTGCTATTTCCAGTATCCAAGACGCCCTGAAGCATAGTGACTGGACCACACGCAAAGCGGCTTCTGTCGTGCTGGCGGAAATTGCTTTGAGCGGTGCTTCTTTCTTGCCATGTTTCAGGGCTGCTTGTGTTCAGTCCCTCGAGGCTTGTCGATTTGACAAGGTGGTTTTCTAATTTTATCAAATGCACTCACTTTATTACATTTTCTTTTTCCTAATTCATTATACTATAGGTGAAACCCGTTAGGGATGCTGTTTTGCAAGCGCTCAAGTGTTGGACAATTCTTCCCGCTCCTGATACTCCTGACCCTTCTGAAACGGGATCCTCCTTAAAAGGTTTACCTATTCTATCTCCCACCTTATGTCTGAATTGAAATATTGGAACCATTTCTTCTTGCCCACCTTGGCTTCTTCATCTGTATTGTGAATTTGTGATGCATCCTGCTGATAATTATCCTTTTATTCTCTCACATGGTTTATGTTGTGTCCTGCTCATGCTTTTCGCAGAAAATATCTGCAGAGGTGACTCCTCTGATCTTAGTAGCACTACTGAATCCAGACATAAGGATGTCAGGCTTCAAAAAGTTAATATGAAATCAACTATGGGAAGGGTTCCTTTGTCTCTTCGAAAAGCATGTCAAAATTATGCCAGAAACCCTCACCATAGCAAATCAGATGATTGGCATGTTGAAGTCGCAGTCCCCAGACCCCACTCTGTGGTGGAATTCCAGAATGAAGAATCTGAGAGTTGTTCCGTCACTAAGCCATTAGAAACGATGAGTGCAGATGTTACAAGCATGCAGGATGTTGGTTATGAATATGTGCCGATGGATGACAAGCAGGAGTGTTCTTCTGTCTCTAATCTAGCGACTGATAACTTTGAGACCAAGTTTTTATCTGCTTCTCATGACTGCTTTATAAATAGTGGTTTGAAGAAGCCGATTGCAAGAAACCAACAGTTTGGTGAAGAAATAAGTTCTGATGAACAAGTGTATTCCGTAAAGATGCAACACCCTAGAAGTTCTGGTTCTACAGTCACAGAGCCAAGTCGCCAAACTACGCACGAGTGCTGTATGCAAATGGCAAATGAAATGATTTGCATTCAGAATCAACTTTCAGATATTGAAATCAAACAGGCTAACATGATGCACCAATTACAGGTATTATACATTAATTATTAATTATATTTATACATATGTACATCTACAGCATGTGATTCTAAATTTCTTCACACTGGTGATGCCACTGCCAGTCATTTTCCTTCGTTCGGTGGTTTCTTAAGCACAGGCTACCTTGTTTTTAAACAGTATGACAACAGCTGATGTAGCATAGTATGTTTTCTATGTTTCTCTCACTTGTATACTAATAACTAAAGCAATGAACTGAACATCTGCGTGTTTATCACAAGGAAGTAAAAAATATGAATTCTTTCAATTTTGGCACACACGAATAGACATACTTTTTTGAGTATTTCTTGTTGTGCATCAGTGTATGGGACACCTTTTATTTAGCATACTGCTAAATCCTTTTCAGATGTTTATAACTGGCATAATGGATGCCCTTTCTACGATCCAATCAAGAATGGCTGGCTTAGAGAATGTATTTGATAGATTAAGTCAAGAATCTTTGCAAGGAGGAAGGCATTCTTATTCTGAAAACTCCAAATTCGGGAGGCAGAGCGAAAATGTTGCCTCTCCCAGGTTCTCCATATGCACTCCAAGGCCATCTGTAGAAATGAATAATAAGCAACCAGGCTCAATGACGGTTAAAAATTCTGAAAGTTGGGAGAAAAAAACATTTTCTAGGAGCCAACCAAGGATTCGTTCTGGTGATAATTCGGATATGTGGAAAAGTTACAAGGTCAAGGCTGCCAGAAAATTTACAGATAAGGATGTTTTGAACAGCTCAGCGAAGGATACACCAAGCACGGGTTATGTAAAAACTGATGGAATCTTATCTGCTACCAGAACAATCAATGCCAGAAATGGTTGTTCCGAGAGTAATACTAACTACTGGAAGCACGTAAAACGTCTTGTATGTGAGGGGGATCTAAACTCTGCATATATGGAAGCTTTGTGTATCAGAGATGAACTTATTTTTGTTGAACTTTTGAATACAACTGGTCCAGTCATAGAAAGTTTAACGGTGAAGACAATCAACGCTCTTCTTAGTACTTTAGCATCATATCTTCTGGAAGGAAAATTATTTAATACCATAATCCCCTGGCTGCAGCAGGCAAGTTTACTCACTCTTATTAAATTTTGCTCAGCGATCTATTGATTATTATCATTTTGAATTTTACATTCCTTTAATTAAGTGCCTTCCTTGGAATGAATATAAGCATATCTAGGAGTTCTTTAGCTAATAAAGAAAGAAACAATAAAGCATGAATTGTTGTAGCTTCATGTCATACAGTAAATAGAATTCTTCATGTTTTAAGCCAGAAGTGCAGAATCATGAGATGGAGATGCTAAAAGTTATCTCTTATTATTCTTAAGTGGTAGTTATAACAGTAACGGGATGGAAATCTTATCCTTTACGGTAATGTGGTTATAGATTGTTGAAATGAGTAGTATCCATGGACCAAATTGCATAGCTATCTCTATTGAAGTCAAGGAACAGCTTATATCGGCGGTGCAGGAGGTGGTGAACCTGCATATTTTCAGTCATGCAGAAAGAACGCGTGCTGCTGAATTAGCAATGAAATTACATCGTATATGGGGTAAGTCTACTGAAAGTTGATTAATATTTGTGTATCTGACCAAAAAAGTCATGTATCTAGCCAATTTTCTGTGGAGTCGGATCTCGTTCCTGCTGGAACTCAAAAAAGCCAGTTCTTGTATGTGTTGTTTTGTTAGTGGGTGAGCGTTGGGTTTTGCGAATAATTCTTGCTATTGACTTGTGAAGTGTTCCCCCACTTTTTTGGGGATTGGTAGCGGTGTGCATTGGGAAGGTATTTCCACCTTTGAGAATGGATGTCAAGATTGATTATGTACCATATTTATTTTCATTTTTCTTAATGCCTGTTGTAGATTTTTTCATTATTTAATCATAAATTACAACTCATTAATACTGAAATCACTAAACACGACCTACATATTCTCATCGAATGCCAAAGTGTATATTTTGAGAAATTTTATTTCATATTCTTGGAGTGCTTGATAAAATTAGTTTAAGCTATTCAAAACTTGTAAGTTATGAGTTAAAAATATTTAAAACTAGTAAGTTATTTGACTTAGTCGAAAGTATTTAGTTATATTAACTATTAACTAATAAAATGTAAAATGATATAATAGAATATAGTTAGTTATTTTAAAGAAAGAGCTTTCACATAAATTAACGAGGAATAATAATAAAAAAATTAAAAAGGTTAGCTTAGTTACTTAAAGTAATTTGTGAAAATAGACTAGAAGCTATTAATATTGGTGTATTAAATAAGTTTAATTTCATCAAATTAGTTTATAAATGTTAGTTTATGAATGATTTCTTGTAACACTTTCTTAAAAGGTAAAGAATAGTCCCGCTAATTTGAAAATAAAATAAAATAAAATAAATTATATTTCAGTTCCTTATACAAATGTTGTTAGTAAATTTATTAACTATAGTTGTATAAAATCTATTTATTATTGTTTTTATTAGTAAAAATATCACATTAAAGTTGGTTGATGTTGTATAATAGTTGTAATCTATCATTATTAGTTATGCTTCTAGTAGTCTTAGTGATGAAAATAAGATTATTTTGGAATTATAGGGACTACAATTAAATTTAAATTTGAAAAGTTAAGAACAAATATATCTTAAATTTAAGAGACTAAAAATATATTTAAATTTAAATAATGTTTTTAGATATTTAAATTTGAAAAAAGAATAAATGCATTATATCATGTACTTTTGATATATTATTCATTAATTAGTGGCTTAATTAGTGGATGCTAATATATATTACCAATCATTACCATTTATATTTCCGTTATGTATTATTCCTTTTATTGTGTAATTGTTCAGTTATCACATGTACTTATAAATATGTTAGTCATCTCCCAAAGATAATACACTAGTCAGATTCTTTTTTCCATCTCATATTGTCTTGTTTCTTTTTTCTACTTTTTCTTTCTTTTATAACACGTTATCAACACGATAGTCTTTCATCTATTAGTGTTGTAACTACAAGACAAAGCTATGAAGAATTTTTACGTAGAAAGTCATATTTTTCAAAACAAATATTTCAAGGTTAGCTACTCATCTTCCATAATAAGAATTTTATCAAATATTTGTATTGTTTACATTATTATATATTAAAGTAGTCTTGAAGACATTATAGTAGTCTTGAAGACATTATTAAATAAAAAAAATGTATACATTCGTGAAATGTGTCTAGAAGATGTTATCAAAAGAGAATATTCAATCTCTTTTAATTTATTTTTTTTTTCTCACCAGAAGTGAGAAATATCAATATTTCATTGACGTAATATATTTTGTCATTATTATGCAATCATGTTTTTTCATATTATGAATTTGATAGAATATTTGTATTTTTATGATTGTGAAATTTATTTAAATATAATTGATTTTAAAGACAAAATCAAAAAAATTATAAAAATATTTTTATAATGGTCTAGAAGACATTGTCAAATAAAGACATTTTAATAATTTTTTTCTTACCAGTACCAGAAGTGAAAAAATGATAAAAAAAATGAAAATGAAAGAATAAATTTTCTCACTAGAAGTGAGAAAATAATATAAAAAGTGAAAAATAAAATAAATTTCACCAGAAGTGGAAAATTTGATATAAATATATTACATTGTATTTGATCTTTTGATATAAATGAGGTCACTACCAGAAGTGAAATAATTTTGTCAATGTCATAATTATAATGTTAAATGATATTTGAGACACTCGTGTTATGTCATTGAATCTTAAAGAATTTAGTTTTAAATTTTATTGATAGAATTGATATTATTTGTTTTCATAATGTTAAGCGTCTATTATTTTAATTGATGGAGATATCATTACGTTATAATTTGATTATGATTTGTACAAAAATACTAGAATTTAATGAAATTATGATCAATGTTTATTTCCTTAATTTTTTGATACAACATTTGTAAGGGGAGTAATTTTCCTAATTTTTAGCATTATTTTTTATCTCCTTAAAGTCAACCTAGCAATGACATAAATATCTTTTTATTAAATGATTTTTTTAATAAATATAATGAGAAAGATTCATTTTTTTTATAAAGAAAGACATAAACAAGTTATGATTTTTCTTTCAAATGAATATATGATTGTGTTGTATCCTTCATTTCCTAAAATGATAAAATAAAGTGTTAGTGAGATATGTTTTTAATATTTTTTGTATGAAGCATTTATTTGTAAATAATATAGATGAGATGATATATAAAAAAATTAGTGTAGATTTTGATATTAAATTGATGTCTAAAGATACACAACAAGAATGTCATTTTTATAATGATTTCTCAATTTGAAAAATATATTATATTTTTCATACATCTATTTTGCTCTAGAAGTAACAATATTTTTTTTTATTAAAAAAAAGGATTAAGAAATATCCTTAGTTTGTTTATTGTCTCTTGAAGACTAAAACAAAATATTGAGATTTTTTTATGCAAGAGACCATTTTAACTAGCATTATTTCATTTCCTGAAGTGAATGTTCTAATATATTAATTTTTGTCTTCTCATATTCAATAATGCGAGAAATTAATGTTATATGATACTACAAATATAATTGAAGGCTTCAAAAAAGCTAATATATTATTATTGACAGAAACAAAGTTGCATATTAAAAATGCATTATATTTTTCTGTCTTATTGAAACTTATTGAGTTTCAAAGATATTCGTTTAAATGAGTTTTATATTAAAACAAACAATGAAAGAAATATAGAATATCTTTATATTACGAAACTCCACTTGAATAAAAAAGAAGTATTGGAAAAAAATTATTTGCTTTTTCCTATAGACTGTATAGCATGTATATTAATATAGTTGAAACATATACTATTGTAAATCAGAAGTTTACAAATAAAAATTTTGAGGTTTGACATGACCGGTTGGGTCATCCTAAGACTATGATGATGCAAAAAATAATTAAAAATTCATGTAGACATTTATTGAAGAGTCAGAAGATTCTTCAATCAAATATTTTTTCATGTACTGCTTGTTCCCAAGGGAAGTTAATAATCAGATCATCACCTTAGAACAGATACAAGGTGATATTTGTGTACCAATACACCCCATGTGGACCATTTAGATATTTTATAATTTTAATTGATGCATCAACAAGATGGTCACATATTTGTTTATTATCAATTCGCAACCAGATGTTTGCGAGATTATTAGCTCAACTAATTAGATTAGGAGCTCATTTTCCTACCTATCCAATTAAGAAAATTCGTTTAGATAATGCTAGTGAATTCACATCTCATTCTTTTAATGAGTTGATTTCCCAACATTAGGGGGAGAACACAAATAGTTAGAAAAAGATATTAGTTGGAATGAATTATCATTATCTCATTTTGATCCTCGTACAAAATAATGTGAACTAGAAGTTCAAAAGATAATTCATTAGCAAAATCTAGCCAATCAATTACTAAATGTATTCACAGATCCAAAAAGGGGTGACTAAGTCATATGTATCAGCGGCTAATGCTCCAATAAGAGTTGAAGTCCATGTTGGACAATTTATTACTCACAAATACGCATGAAGCGTGGTAGACCAATTGGTTCCAAGGATAAGAATCTTCGAATAAAAAAGGGAGCTAAAGAAAAAAATGACCAAATTGAGGATGTAAAAACTCAAAAAAATTCCTCTAACATAACTAATTTTTCAGTTCCAAAAGAAACTCAGGTACCTGAAATTATTGAAAATGAAGAGATCTCAATAAATTATGTCATGAATGGAATACGATGAAATCGAAACATTGTCAATATTGATGAGGTGTTTGCATATAATATAGCGTTAAATGTAATAAATGATATTGAGGATGAAGTACTAAAGTCCATTAATGATTGTCGACAAAGAAATGATTGGCCAAAATAGAAAGAGGCAATTGAGACAGAATTAGACTCGCTTGCTAAGCAAAAAGTTTTTGGAAAAGTACTAAGTCCACAAAAAGCTGTAAAAAAAATTGCATAAAAATGGGTTTTGTGCAAAAATGAAATAAAAATGGTGAAATTGTGAGATACAAAGCAAGACTAGTTGCTTAAGGTTTTTCATAAAGACCCGGTATTGATTTTGAAGAGTCATATTCACCTGTAGTGGATGCAAACACTTTTCGATATTTAATTAGTTTGGTTGTACATGAAAAACTTAATTTACATCTAATGGATGTAGTTACAACATATTTATATGACTTTCTTGATGCTGACATTTATATGAAACTCCCAGAAGGATTTAATTTGCCTAACGATGCAATTTCTAGAGAAGATTATTCGATCAAATTGAATAAGTCCCTATATGGGCTAAAACAATAAGGTCGTATGTGGTATAATCGACTAAGTGAATACTTGTTACAAGAAGGATATAAAAATGATCCAATTTGTCCTTGTATATTTATAAAAAGATCTGAAAATTGATTTGCCATAATTGTAGTTTATGTAGATGATATAAACATTATTGGAACTCCTAAAGAGCTTTCAAAAGCAATAGATTGCTTAAAGAAAGAATTTGAAATGAAGGATCTAGGAAGGACAAAGTTTTGTCTAGGTGTTGAGACTACTCGAAAACCAGGGAAATCGAAAGATGTACTTATGAAGTTAATCGAAAGATGGAGGAGGATGAACACCCGTTTGGAACGTATTAGGAGTTTTATGTATTCGTGTTAGAAATATAGTCGAAAACTTCAAAGCATATATAAAACTTCTCAGAAAATTGAGATTAACCCTGCCAATAATAGTTGATTTGAGATCGAAGACAATTATTTCGAGTTGAGTAAAGTTGTGTGAGTACTTATGATCATACAAAGACAGTTAGCGTCCAAGTCGAGAAGTTAGTATACGCGAAGAGCGATTATGAGAAGTTACACTTTAGAAGCCACATAATGAGCATAGTGGGTAGCGGTTATCTCATAGTGGCCTACGTGCACGAGCGTTTGAGTGAGTTAACCGTCATTGATTCACTCTATAAAATCAAGAAGCCTGCATTGTCACAGGGTCGGAAAATTTCATACTAAGACTATACTCTGAAGCACTCTCTGCCTGCGCTATGGCTTTCGTGCATGGAATTGTTTTTGGGTATGATTCCTTCTCGGCCATTTTCATTTTCTTTTTATAGGAGTAGAATTAGCGTAGTTTCTTGTTTTTAATCTTGTAATGTTCGATCATCATCAATGTTGTATTGTTCTAAACCTTGTAAAAGTGAACCATGATTTGTGTTGCTAATATCATTATTGTTCATTCTGTTCATCTAAGTGTTTACGTGCATGGAAATAATTACTTATTAATCATTGACGAATGCTTAGAGACCAGCAATTATTGATCATTCTATTTCATTCCTTTTCATTGTAATCCGAGAAACATATGCCTAAATTGAAACACTTGCTATGCTAGTCTAAATAAAAAGAACCCATAAACAAATTCCACCGTAAACACTAGGACTACAAGTTGAATACTTAGAAAATGAAATTATTGTGCATCAAGAAACTTATATAACAAAGGTGCTTAAAAGGTTTTATATGGACAAATCACATCCATTGTGCACTCTCATGGTTGTAAGATCTTTAGATGTTAACAAAGATCCATTTAGACCCCAAGAAAAGGATGAAGAAATACTTGGTCCCGAAGTACCATATCTTAGTGCTATAGGAGCACTAATGTACCTTGCTAATTATACACGACCTGATATAACATTTGCTGTTAATTTGTTAGCAAGATATAGTTCTTCACCTACACGAAGACATTGGAATAGAGTTAAACAAATCCTTCATTATCTTAGAGGTACAATGAATATGGGGTTATTATATTCAAATATTTCCAAACCAGAACTAAATGGTTATGCAGATGCAGGTTATTTGTCAGATCCTCATAATGATAAATCACAAACAGGATATTTTTTTTACAAGTGGTGGTACAACCATTTCATGGTGATCTGTAAAACAAACCATATCAGCCACTTCATCTAATCATGCTGAAATTTTAGCATTACATGAGACAAGTCGTGAATGTGTTTGACTAAGATCTGTGATTCAACACATACGGGAAACTTGTGATATCCCGCCATTCGAGCAGAGAAAAGGAAAGAAATTTTGCAAATATCATAATATGTATGGTCATTGGACTAACAACGGTGTGCGTTTCAGGGATTTGATCGAAAGGGCGATTACTGATGGTCGCCTTGCTTTCGGAGAGAAGGATATGAAAGTAGACACAGACCCATTCGCTGCTCATACTGGATATGTCGAACCAGTTCCAGTGGGGATCAACATGGTGGATGTTGCTGTCGAGGATGACCAGAACGGGCCGTTCCCAGTCTGGAACGGGCCGTTCCTAGTCTGGAACGGGCCGTTCCCAGGAGATCAATGTCACTAAGTATATATTTAAATCAATAACTTATGAAATATTTTATAAAGTCCCTTTAATTAATCAAAATATCCTTTTAATAATTTTAGAAAACTTGGAGTATTACAACATAGATGTTAGGTGATCGATCAAAATTCATGGAGGTTTAGTTCTAGGCCACTCCAAATACTAAAGAGTAGTTGGCTACCGATCGAGTGGTCTCTTCCTCTTGCTGATTCTTCCCTTTACAAAGCTGCTCTTCTTTCATGAATAAATTAAATCTTCTTCCTTAGAGACTCCCGCTCTTCATTCGTGAATAAAAAATAATTTACTGCCACTGCCCACTTCTACTCTTCTATACCTATTTAATGAGTTCCAATCCCACTTATATTTCATTCCATCTTTCTTATTATCCCTTTTTGTGGGCTGTGAAATTCTAATTTCCTCTCCTTGCTTATGTTCTCTCTTGCCCTAAAAGTTACAAACTGATTCAGAATTGGTTTTGTTTACTGCAAGCCTGTACGTTTTTGCTGTAACCGTAAGCATACACTTTCTCTTATTTGTGCCATTTAATTCTTTTATTTTTTTTAAAAGACTGTTACATAAATTATTAACTCTTCTATTATTTATTATCTTCTAGACAATCATTAAAATGACTTCAAATCCAACTCCAAATTCTTCTGCCCCTGTGCCTCCTAAAAATGCTCCTGGAAATAGGAGTGATGTAGCTTGGAAGCATTGTATTTCAGTTGGTGGGGATACAAGGAAGCTTCAATGCAAATATTGCCAGAAGGTTATAACAGGGGGAGTTTATAGGTTGAAGCATCACTTGGCTGGTACTCAAAAAGATGTTGGTGCTTGCAAGGTTGTTACGGATGAAGTGAAGAAGGAAATGTGGGAAATTGTTGTTGGTTTGCAACAAAATTTGATCAAGAAATCATGCCTTAATAAGGAGGAGGAAAGTCTAGAAGCTGGTGATAAAAGAAAAGGCAATGAAGCAATTGACACTGGCAGTTCCATAAATATTTTTAAGAAGAGAGTAATTAGTACACAAGCCACCATCAATACCATGTTTAAGAAAGGTGTGAGAGAGGAAGCATGTCAAGCAATTGCTAGATTTTTCTACAACAATGCAATACCTTTCAATGTGGCAAAGAGTGAGGAATTCTTTGCTATGTTTGATTTGGTTTCAAAGCATGGCCTTGGATTTAAGCCTCCATCATATCATGAGATTAGAGTCAAACTTTTGAAGGAGGAAGTGAAAAATACATCAATTACTTTGCAATCATATAGGGATGAATGGGAGAAAA